GGAGGACGCGGAGGTGCCATTATGTACAGTGCTGCTAAACCGGCGTTGTACTCTGCGACGTGAGGACAGTCCTATGTGGACGTCGTTTTTGAATTATAATGACAGAGTAAAATTGTGAAGTTGGAAATGCAATAGTAAACCAGAAATAAGAATGTACACAGCAACATCCTTTTTGCAAAGGCTACAATGCAAGGCGGATAACTACAATGTCAAATATGAAACTAACAATTCACAGAACATCAAAAATACTTAAGACATGAGTGTAAGGCTTTAGAGCTGGGGTTGTAACCAATACAACTCCAACTCCAATGTACTAATGTGTTTTCCAGCTCATCTGAAAAGTTTAAAAAATACTATAGGGGAAAAAAAAGGCTTTTTCTATCCCCACATTTTTTGAGAGAATTAATTAATCGAAATAAGGCAAATTATTAGATATGTCTGAATTTTACCATTCATTATATCATCTAAAATCTGGGTGTTATAAACGGTGGGCAACTGTCGAAACACGAAAACTGCAAAACAAGGTAAGTCACTTTCTGAATACAAAGCGTTCTGAATTATACAGACCCTATAAAAAGCAAATTTAGTGACAGTGATGATATCTTCATGCATCTGAGTTATAAATAGCTACGCTTATTAAAAAAAATACTGTTAAAAAAATGAAAGGCCCCCAAATCATTGACTGACATTTGCAAACAGTCAGTTCTTGTATTTATGCTAAAACGCTATTTCGTATTTCAAGCATATTGAAAATTTCCCTTCACTAATCTGAGACTCTGTGGAACGCATATTAAATTAGGTCACACACACAAAAAAAATAAAACAAATCCAGATCACACCATTTGCCTATCTGCACTTGAACTACGATAAAAAATGTATCGTAACTTGCCTGGACTTGGACACTATTGGATCAAGTTTGTTGTTTGATTACAAAAATTAAGAAGGAAGAGGAAAGCATCAAGAGTCCCTAGCAGAACAGTTTTAACTAAGCACCAAGCTGACTCAGAAAATTAGGGTTAGTCTCTTATTCTCACTAGGAAGTTCAACGATATGTCAGTATAGATTCTTTTAGTTATGGGAAGCCTTTAGAAACTGGCCAAGTAATAAGCATTAAAAATGTTTCATGAGCTAACTCACTATAACAGTAAATGTCTGCTTCATATATAAAACTTAATTTGATTCATAATCCAAGTTAATCAGAGCAGGAAGTTATGAAGACAAATTATTTGGACTTTCATAAACCTCTGAAAGGAAAGTCAAATGCGACTTTAGTAAGAAATGTTAAAAAAAAAAAGAAACAAAAACTGTTGGCAAGTTTCATTAGATTAAAAAGAGCTATGTTAAAGTTCATCAATTTTTATTTGAAAATATATTAAGCTTCTATATCATTCTGTTTAATATGTATCATCAATTTTTTTCTTTTTCTTTTTTTTTAGGTTTTAACATTGGGTGTGTATGCTCACTGACAGAGGGAGGCAGAGCAGGAGAAAATGAGAAATCACCCCAGGAGGCATGCCACACTGCAATCCCTTCTCCACTCTCCTGGGATTTTGGGCATTCATATACATGCAGCAAACATGATTTTCAAGCCACCAGGTCTGGGACATGAACAGCAGTCAGCCATGCTGGAGGCCAGCGCCTTAACCACCATGCCATTTGCTGGCCCTGGCAACATCAATTCTTAAAGGATATGTAAGAAAACACTTGAAGACATTAAGATTTATGAAATGACTTAATTATATCATTTGAAAAATTAAGTGCTGAAAATCTGATTTTTGAAAATACACTGAAAACTGCCTTAACCTGAATGGGGTTTTGATTTTTCCATGGCCTTTTAAGGGATATTATTAATTTTTGTATGAAAAACATTTTTAAGTTAAAGTGGTAAAATCTAAGAGTTGTCATAAGTAAATTGACCACCTTTATTTTATCCTTACTTTTACACTTAGAGATTTATCCTCGACAACTAATTAGTAGAAGATATTCAAAACATCATATTTGTCCTCGTGTGTCTGTGTGTGTGTTTGCTAATATTCTATTTTTGAAGGAAAAGACAAGCAAAGTCTAGATATCTCTATGCCATGCTCTTCTGGGTGACCAGCTCAGACAAGGCATATCAGTAGAGTGGGGATAATGGAAAAAAAAAAAAAAACTATAGAAACCTTTTATGCTATAAAAACATGTCTCTGAGATAAAAACAAAACTCAGAGAATGTTCTTATGAGCACATCTCCCTATTTGGCAGTAATGACACGCCCATTTAATGTAATAGCAAGTGTTTTAGTATTCTTGGACTATGAATCAAAGGCTGAAATGAAGTCAAGTTACAAGAACAAGCTGAAAACTTTGCTATGTATGAATCTAAGAAAACTGCCAAGAGTACAAAGCCTATCTGTTGCAGTACAGTTAAGAATATTTTTGTAGCATTTTGTTGTCTTTAGTGTCTACCCACCTTTGGCCACCACCTTCCCCTCTCATTTTTCAGATTCTCTGACTTGACAGCTCCTGGAATTTTTTCCTGTCTATGGGTGTGTACAGTGATAAAAAACTATTCCAGTTAGGGACAGTTCACAGATATGTTTTTTAGGAGACAGACAAACCAAAGGTAAGGCCATCGGTTAGCCAGAAGATGGTTTAGTTTTTATTAACAAAATTCCAGAAAACAAAGTTTCAAATGTGTTTGCCTTTGACAGGATTTGGCTTCATGGGTAATACATTATAAAAGAGCTTTCCCAATGTGACATATAATCCTAGCTCAGTTTAAAATAGATTTCTAGATACAGAACTTCAGATTCCTGATGCTAAGGTATTAATTTTTAAAAATGCCACAGAAAGGTAGAGGGGAAAAGGGAAAATAGTTGTCTAATATTAGTAAAGTGCTGTAAATCTGGCAGTAAAATATAAATAATACCTAAATGATTAGAACTAATAGTAAATAATATTGACACTCATCTCTAATAGTGATGTATATAAAATAAGCACACTATAGAATGTACATACAGTAACAACTGTTCATAAGTTGACAAGTATATCAAGCATAAGTCCTTCTTCTTAATTTTACAACATAACTGCTGACCTAATTATTTTCCCTCTTCAGTGTTGAGCTCTTTTAAATGATAACCCCTGCATACAAGTCTCCCATACACATTAAAGCCCCAGCATGCTTGGGTAGGTTTCCTTTTCTCACTTTGAGGTTGTCTTCTCATGATATTTAATTCTTCCTTTAAGTTCTAAGTAGATAGAATTCAGGATTTGATAGCCCCTTGGGTCTAAAATTTTGAGGCTGTAGATATTTCTGACAATTTTGCCTCCAGATCCTAAACATCTAATTCTAAACCTTGTGGGAATGTATCAGGTTCATAAAGGCTCACTGAAAATACTCTTAAAGATTCTCTACTTCTTCCTTCATTTGAAATGAAACTGTGTGGGGGGTTATGATGCATAACTAAGAAGGACAACTCAGCCCAGGATTTGTAACTAGATAAAGCAGCAGACCTAGATAACTGATAGGCAGCTGGCTACAATTCTTAGCCACCACAAATTTTTTCTCATCAAATCACTGTATCCTTACTGGCTAAAATTACTGCCTTAGATGTAGTAATGGTTAACAGTTTTACAATGAAAATAAATGTTTCCCCCTCCATTAGTGAACATATACAATCATGTTTTATACCTAGTTAATACCCTCTGAAGAGAAGGACAATTAGAAAATGAGTTAGATTTTTGTCTACTCTTTTATTGAATGACTGTATAGTAAAGAGAGGATTTAAGGTAAAATGTTACTTCAGGAGCATTTGTTACGACTGTATATTTCCATTGCATTAGTACTTTAATTTGTTTGGATATTTTATTAGTAGGCCATTTTTATTCCAATAATCCATTCTAGTCTCTGGGAATGGGTTTTCCTTCATTACCACCTGTGACTTTCTTAGATTTCTAATCTCACTTATACATGCCATACAAACCTTATCTTAAGGAAAAGTATTGGGAAAAAAAAAAACCCTAAAGATGAACATCAAATAATTTCTGAGATTATGTACGTGTGTGTGGGTAACTATACATACATGAATCTCAGGAAACATTTATAGACGTCCACCCCCCACAACTGCCAAAACTCACATCTTTGCCATCATTAGGCTCAAGCCTTTTGTTCCTTAAATAAACCAATATCTCTTCTCTGTCATTTCAGTGCAATGTGAAGAATCTAAGGATATTCATGTTTTAAAACAACATTAAATACACACTCTTAGGTTTTTGTAGTCATAAAGATAATACATGTGGATTGATAAAAGGTGATTTAAAAATAATCAGCACATACTTTTCAAGAAACATCATCAGTGACTTAGAGATGCTGTCACACACACGCTGCCCTTCACTTTATAAAAAGAAACTAAATAATACTTCCATAACTGGGGGGATGGCAAGGGGTAGAAATTAGCAGTGTTAGCAGCAAATTATTTTGTGGTTTTTTTTTTAGGCTTCAGAAAACTAAACAGTATATATTACAAGATTATGGAACATTTTTGTACCATAACAGGACAAAAAAAAATCTCAAAATTTACAAAAAGGAATATATGCCAAATATTATTTAAATATTTTTTATAGAAAGTGAAAAGTTAGATGAGATACATTGATAACAGTCTTTCTTATATAAAACTTTTATGGTATAAAATGTTCAAATCCCTGGAGTTATAACGAATAAGCTCTGAAGCCTCTTTCTACATGTAATGGAACCAGGTTGGACCACTACCAAAATTAAGCTGCCATTTCGATGTAGGACTATAGAAAAAGAGGTTATTTTTGTTGAATGGAAAACTCTCTCAACTTATAAAAGGGGAAAATGAAAAACATGATAAAACAATTTTTTTTTGGAGAGGTTTCTACAACAGGGCACGTGCGCTTGCCAGACAGACAGACACAAAGTGAGAAATCATCCCCTGGGGGGATGGCCATGCCGCAATCCCTTCTCCTCCATTCTCTTGGGATCTTGGACACGCATGCACATGCACCTGGCATGAGTTTAAGTCACCCAGTCTGGGGCTCGAACTGTGGTTGACTACATGGGAGTCCAGCAACACAGCCATTACGCTAACTGCTGGTCCCAATAATTTTAAAGATTCTGAGATCCCATCTTATTCTGTTCAGAACATTCTTTTATCTACTTTAGGGTATCACATAGTCTTTGCTGCTAAGGGGTACAATGCTCTCTCAGTTCAGTGGCCATTTCTAGGCAAAGAATCTTTTCATAATATAAGGATAAAAATATTTTTGCAAAGTTTAATGAAAAGACAGCAAAAGCATTTTGTCTTAACGTTATTTTTCCCTTAGCAAAAAGGGAAGATGAAAAGCGCTTTCCTCTTGCTTTAGCATCAAAGATATGCTCATCCACATGGCTGTAACTAGCTATGTTCCCACTACCTGTAGGCTGTGGATGCTTCTTAAGCTAAATCTCACATGTTCCAACTGAGGGTAATTGTAACAGTCCGGGAGCTGAAACTGGACAGTTCAAAATTAAACAAAGAGAGTTACAATAATTTCAAAATTTTCTTTCATGCTAATTATTATATTGGGATAAAGATTTTCAAGCTTTTAACATGGTATTCTCACTAAAACAACAGACAATGCTTGTGTAGGAATAAGAGACACTCGAAAATATTTTATATTATTACTTAGCAAACGAGAATAAACCAAACTGCCATGGAAAAGAAAATGTGAGTACAGCCGCTCATAAATGAAATCTGTCCTTTTTCTGCACCCTGACTCATCTTTCACTTAACACTCACTATCAAGCTGTTGGCACGGCATGGGTTTTCATTCCTTCGTGAGAAATGATAAAATATGTAGGATCATGTTTCTGTCTGGATAACATTTACCTCAGTTTTGTACAACTAAGGCTTTTAGTGTACACACAAAATTTCCACAAAGTATTGGGTTGTCGGAAAAGTCATGACATGTTTTCCTATGCAGAAATGTGTCATGACTTTTCTGATGACCCTGTAAGACCACTTTGTCCCTATTGTAATCTAATCATCCCTTGAAGTCGATTTTACCAGGTTAAGGATATCTACTAGAAATAATTCACTCTTGCTAAGTTTCAGAATATGGGGCCTTTATTTAGGGACTTGTTTTTCTTGGTTATTAAATTATTATTTTAATCTGACGAGAGGATATGTGTGCTTGCTGGGCAAAGAGAGAGAGAAAAAAAGAGAAGAAAAGTGAGAAAGCACCCCCCATGGAGAACGGTCACACCACAATCCCGTCTCCATTTCTCCCTCCTTTCGGGATTCTGGGCCTGCACATGAGCCTGCAGGACCCAATCTGTACAGTCAGTCACAGTCAATCTGCGCTTCAGCCACTAGACCCCACACCTTCGTGGTCATTATTAAGTAATTAGACAAATAGTAAAAATATATCATCAGTTTTTAAAAGTGTTTTAAAATATGTACAACTGTATTGCTTATGCGCTTTTCAGATGTGATTAGCTAGTACGCTTCCTGGATTCATTTCTGGTTATCAACTTAACTACACACTTGTGGGACATAAATGCTATGTTTTAATAGTCTTCACTTTTTTCACTTACTTTGTATTTTCTTACCCTAGTAAGAAGAGAAACTGAAGTCCAGCTTTGTGGCTGTAAGGCCTAGACGCTGTGTGACAGCTCACTGCTCCTGAGGCAGCACCGCGGCCCTGGCTCCGCTGCAGACACCGGGTGGGCCAGTGTCCGAGCCAGCAGCACCCTGAGGCTGCTGTGTGCGAGGAGTTGGTGAGAACAGAGCACAGCTTCCCTCACATCCAGATAAAGCTCCAAATGTCACTCAACTCCCAGAGAGGCCATACATCATCGCCAACCTCCTGAGAAGTTGTTCTTGGATAAACAGAAATATCCTCAGTCCCACCCAAAGCTGGGCCACCACTGTCACAGTGAAGTTTTACTCTTGGCTTTCCGATACCTAAAGTATATTCAGATGTTACTTCTTTTAAAAGCCTGTTTTGTTTTTAAATTCTATAAAATGTTTAGAAATACAATTTCTTCTATGTAATAGAAGTAATATACTGAACTTTAAAGATATAGGTGAATAACGTTATAAATACAATCACCAAAATCACAGCATAGTACAGGTGCTGAAGAAAATCAGAGCTAAAACTTCCCTCTAGGACCCTGGCACCTTCCCAGGCCATTCAGAGAGGAAATGTTGGGCAGGTGGCTGGGTTGGAGACCAGAATGAGGGCAGTAAACAGAGAGCCAAACCTAACACCCTCATCTCACACGATACAATTCATTTAATGAGTAGTTCACAGACTTTTGTTTTTACCTATCTTATTCTACAGGTATAATTTTCTAGTAGCTTTAATTTTATAAAGATTAATGTTCACATTCTAATTTGTTTTAGAAACAGCTGAATCCTCACGCTATTTATGATATAAGAGTGGGGGTAAGAACCATCATGAGTAGTTTCTGATCACTGTCACAACTTCATGCGCTGACTAGGTCTGCTCGGCCTCCTGAAACCCCGCCATGCAATCTACTCAGTGGCTCTCTCCTTTCTTAGTCATTCTTGCTGCTTGTGTGTGATCAGGCAGAAGTTTCACATTATGCTCAGACTTCTGTACGAATGTTAAAGATTAGCAAACTGTACGGAGTCAGCTTGTGTATATTCTCATACCTTCTATAGCTACGGTTTCTGAGGACAAATAAAAACACTACAATTTTTAGATTCACTTATGAAAAAAAGAAGGATTTACAATCACTTGAATATAGTTTCTGAAAATTCTCAGAATGTATAGTTGCTTATTTGTGTTTAATATACAGAACTAAGTAAAACTCGAACTTCCAAGTAGCAAGTACATGAAATCTCCTCCTCCTATGCGGTGACCCATCTAAAAACAAAGGAAAAAAAAAACTGACCTAATTTCAGAAATTTTTTGCTTTTAAAAAATGGGTGATGGTGCAAAACAAAAGCCTAGAAGGAAACTTAGATGTAATTTGGGACCAAATACTTAACCTAGTTAATATATTGTAGAAGGTTAGACAGGAAGTGTTTCATTTTCAAATGAATGACATTTCGTACTTATATAGCACCTTATATAGACAAAGTGCTTTACAGTGATTACCTGACGGCCATCGCCAAGTAAATAAACCTGGTTCACAATTTGTTAACGAATGTAAGCACTTTGAGGAACCACGTATCTAAGAAAATCTATTCAGTAACAAATTCCTGGACTACTAGATTTAAGAAAAAAAAAGCAAAGAATTCACATATAAGAAGTATGCAATATGAAGATACAGGATCTTAAAGACTTTTTAAGATGCTATATGAATTACTGAGAAATGGAAGGGTTTATACTGAGGAGTAAGTAAAAGAAATGAGGCACAGGTCAACAAATTGCCCAAAAGATAAGGCTACCTATTACTTGCAAGTATATGAAAAATAAATCTTAGAGATGTGGAGAACAATGGAAAGCATAAACGTCAATCACGTTGCTAGATTCTGACCCTCAGTTACTAAAATACTCCAAAATAAGAAAAAATATTAATGCACTGCCTTGTTTTTTTCTTCTTTCTTTCTATAAGATCCCCCAAATCATCTCACCAATGCATTCACTTCTGCCAGTAAGCAAGACAGGAGGAAATAATGAAATTTTATGTATTTGTGTTTCAAAAATAGTCTTTGAATCTTCGGACAAATTTAGTTTCCTATAAAACAATGTGAAAACTCATATTTTTTTCCATCTAAATAATTCTACCAGGTGCCTTAGGTAAGATCTGATTAGCACCTCTGCCAATGTATTTACGTCTTTGCAAAAAGTGCACTTGCCAACCATTTTGTATGGTAAATATGCAAGTTATCTGAAGTGCATTTGGAAAACAATTGAAAACATAGATTCATACGTCATAAAAAGATTAATTCCCTTTAAACAAAGACATTCTTAGAAAGCATGGTGACACATAGGCACAATAAAGAATATAAATTGTATATCAATTGGCAGAAAATCTAATTCATTACAAAGCCTACACCATTGGAGTTGAGGACATTTTCATACAAAGGAAAGTATTACACTATTATACAACACTTTAAATTGGACATTTACAAATTTTTGGCACATTAAAAGGAACTGAAAGGACTACAAAATAAAGGACAAAGACAGTAAAACAAGATATAGGAAAGAGAAAAAGTCCTCAAACGAGAAACACTATTAACATGGAAGAGAAACAAAAACAAGCTGGCTGAATTTCCTGAAATGCTGTTATACATAACAGAGTTTGCTTTGAATGCAGGTTGCTTTTTATTTCTGGTGGCAAGACTGCTCTACCTTGCTGTGGCTGGTTGCACGTGGCCTGGGTAAGACCTCCTCGTGCTGGTTGCTTGTCTCTGCCTGGCCAGAAAGGACTGCCCTGACCCTGTGCTAGCCAGTCTATCTTCAGCCGCCTTCTTATGCAGAGTCATTCCCTGTAACATAAAGAAGAAAAGTAATCAATAAAAACTAGTGAAATGCACACTCACAGAAGAAAATTTCACCATGCAGAATTTGTTACACTGCATCATAAAGCACAATTAGGAATATTAATTCTACTCAGAGATTAAACTCATCATACACAGGCATTTTAGTTTTAACAATTAAGTATGAATTTTCCTTTGGAAAAATTAAGGTTTAATTTTATGAATTTACAATAACCCAAAAATAGATAATGAAGATAGATTTTTGGAATACACAACCCATACTCAATCATACTTCCCTTTGAAATTAAATGTAGAAAGTGATTTTTCCAAAGAGTACAGTTGATTGATAGCTGATTCACCCAGGTTGTGGAAATCACAGGACTTATTTAGAATGGAAAAACTTAAATCCACTTGTTATTTCTTACGGTGGGAAGACACACTGGGTATTATACATACCACCATGCTGTTTTTCTTCACTTGAAGGCACACTTGTACTTTCAAACCAATTAAGAAAAGCTCCTGATAGGCCACAACAGAGGGCCCAGCCCAGAGCAGGGTGTCTTTCTTGAAAACAGAAGAAACACCTAATGGCTCAGAAGAAAGAAGAGGACCTCTTCTGGGCCCAGAGCACCTTACCTAGAGGGAGTAAACCTCCAGAGCACTCCCTGAACATGAAGAACGACAATGACAGTGACAGCACAACTTTACTGAAAAAGGCAGAAATTTCCTGAGCAGGTCAGGGTCAGAGCAGTTTCGGTGTCCATGTACCAGGCCCGTGAAGAGCGTAGGCCCGGGAAACGTGGAGAACTGAGAGCTGCTGCCTGCTCTCACCAGTGTAGGCTGATGAGAAGAAGTAGAAGCTGGCAAGAAGGAATGTGGAGAGAGGCCCATCTGAGAAAACATGGTGACCTTAGACGAATGCAGAAACGCCTTCCAATGAGCTTCATTAGCAAAGGCAATGGGAGCATTTGGATACAGAAACACTATCTGCAGCAGTTATGGTTATCTTCCTGTTGTCATTGATACAATAAGATCAATAATTTAAGGCATTATCAGGCTAAAGGAAGTTTATCAGATTTCATCCCAAAAAGATCAGAGGAATTACAAGGTGCCAGTAGCCAGTCTTTTTCACATCTTCATATGATTTCATCCAAAAGCAACTGGCTTTGCCTTCCTATTTCCTCTTCCCCCATTTTCTGCTCTTTAAAAGAATAAACCTGAGGCCAGTTCCTGGTCATGGCTTTCTCCATCAGAGAAGTCGGGCCCACCTGCCCCTCACTTTTCTATACTTGTGTGTCTTTGTGTGTTCGTTGTTACATTTATTTCTAATCCACAGCCTTCCCCCCTCAGAAAAACGTGTTTGGCCGAGCAGGTCCCGGCAAAGGAAGAAATAAGAAATCAGGGGTAAAAGGGGAGTCAGGTGGACATGCCAAGATACGTGGGAAAAAAAACACAAGAGAGCTCTCTCCTGAAATGAAATGATAATACACTGAAGACGAGAGGCCAGAAAATAAGTCTTCCTATCACTAGTAAATGACAAATACCTACTGGTCATCTTCAATGTACTAATTTGGTGCCCCCCCCCCCATTAAATAGTCTAATTTTTCACTCTCACATTTCAAACAATGTATTAAAATTCTTCATAGACCCTTAAGACCTTGTATCCATCACAGAGTTCTCCTCTGAGCGACTTAATACTTCTTCCCAGTACTCATCATCTTTATCTCCATTTCAGTTGTCTGAGATGCAGAACTTTCTGAATATAAGCCTAATGCTATTACTGGTTGGTTATCTTATCTGAATATAACTACTGTGAATCTATTTGGAGCTTTCTTTCACTCTCTGAGTTAACAATTAAACTTCTCTTTAGTACCATGTCACTGAATAAATCTAGTTCCAAAAGAAACATAATATGTAAAATCATAAAAGTTATTCAAGAATTTAAAACTAATGAGGGTTGAAATGCGGAGCTTCAAGATCCCTGAACTAACTTCAAAGAGGACAAAGAGCAGAAGAGCTGAAGTCAGAGAACCTCCTTAAATATGTGTTATTTCCATTATTTTTATGTTAATTTTCAAGAAAGTTTTGTTAACCATAGCAGTATCCAAAATCCAATATGATTTCATCTTCTGTAATTTGTTTTTTATTACCAGAGAGTGCGTGCACTCACCAGAGAGAGAAAGAGAACTAGGAAAAAAGCACCTCTCAATGGAGCACAGTCACATCCCAATCCCTTCTTCACTTCTGTGTCAGAATTTGGGGCATAAGCGCACACACACACGCATGTGCACATGCACGCACACACACACACACACACACTCACACACCCAGAATGTTTTCCAAGCTATGAGGGCCAGGGCTTGAACTGAGGCTGGCCACATGGGATCTGATTCCCTTAACCAGTAGGCTACAGGGCCAGCCCTTCATTTGTGATTTTTAATTGTGATAAAATCTTAAATACACAGTTTTGACCAAGGCAAGCACAGATCTAGACATAAAATGTCATGAAATTTATAAATTTTGGACAAAGATCAAATCATACTATTAGGAGGCCAGGGACACTAAATGTAAGTGGTAGAATCAATCACTGTAGTTTGAGTCCTGGATCTGGCGGCTTGCATTCTCACTTTCCTTTTCTCTATCTCTGTCTCTCTCTGGTCAAAACAATAATGACAAATGGAATTAAATGAATAAATTAACTCTCAAAAAAAAAAAAAAAAAAAGATCAAGTAGATGGGGCCAGCAGGTGGAATGGCGTTTAAGGCACTGGATTCCCACATTGCCAACTGCAGTTCAAGTCCTGGGCCTAGCAGCTTGAAAATGACGCTGGGCACATGTGCGTACATGCTCAAAATCCCAAGAAGAGAATGGAAGAGAAGGACTATACATGGCCATCCCCTCTCACCCGGTGAGTGACTTCTCACTTTCCCTCTTTCTGTCTCTCACCAGTGAGTGCATGCACCCTATAGTATTGACACTGAGGATAGTTTCACTGTCTCACCAAAAAAAAAAAAAAAAAAAAAAAGAACCTGGTCCAACTTCCTGTCTCAGCAAATTGGTAAGAAGTTGTCCTATGGAGAAAATAACAAATAAGAAAAGGGAGACAGGAAGTCTGGGGAAAATATATTGAATAAAGTACAGCTTTCTTTACAATTATTCATATGTAGATATTAATGAGCTTTTACAAGGTACTTCAAAAGCTTTGTGGACAAATGGAATTAAAGTATGACTTTTATTTTTCAGGGTTTTTTTTTTTCTGCCATAGGGCGCATGCACTCACTAAAGAAAGACAGAGAGAAAGTGAGAAATCACCTCCCAGTGGGGATGGCCATGACAAATCCCTTCTCCTCCATTCTCCCTCTAAGATTTTGGGCATGCATGTACATGTGCCTGGTGTGATTTTCAAGTTGCTGGGTCCAGGACTTGAACCGAGGTTGGCCATGTGGGATTCCAGCGGTTTAACCACCACACCACCTGCTGGCTCCTTGACTTTATTTTGAAACACAAGAAAACTGAAAACCATACATATTTATTTCATAATATATATTTCCCATGAACTTCTTGAGAGTCGTTGACATTTCTCCCTGCAATGCATTTCAAGTTTTTTTGTGTTGAAATTTTCAGTCTCAAAACCAGTAGTAGTTCAGGGGCTGACTCTGTGAATGTTCTCCAAACAGTGAGACAGTGAATCTATCTCCAGTGTCAATGCCGTCCTGCAAAGGCACCAAAATAATCCCACACGACAAAGCTGCTGTATCTGCCTGTGTTTAGATACCATTATCTTCCTCCCTTGCAATAAATTGCTCTAAGAGACAAAAATTGAACTGAATTCATTTTTCTGACTTCCAGGGATAATGTTATTTTCAAAACACTCTTACCCTGCTTATGATGTTTTTCCTATTTGCTTTTCAGCCCTAAGATTAAAGCTCTAAGAATTCAGCCCTAAGAATTAAGGTTATGTTAGTGTGTGTTAGGTCAGTAATTAAGATTTATTTGATAAAATTACTTCTATGAAAAGGGAATAAAAATATATTACATAGTCATCAAACTTTAAAGAACATTCTTAAGAGCTATCTTCTTACCATATTGTACCAGGCACTAACAATGTATTTCTCTTCCATCTCTCTTTGACTCTTTGTTTTCTCATATTCTTTCTAAAAAATAAGCACACATAAACATGTAAAAATTAAAATAGTCCAATATAAATAAAAATACTTACAGGATTAACTCTCTAAATCCATGGACTCAACTGTATACTACAGCAAAGCTCCCAGAAAATAAGAATCAAAAACAAATACTGCATTGCATGGCTTAGAACACTACCTCTAATGAGTGGAACAGTCGGTCCCGTTCCTGGAGTTGGTTTTTAAGAGCTTGTATTTCTGGTGCTGCTCCTTGATTTTGTTTAGGATCTAAAGTACGAATAACCTGTAAAACATAATAAAAGAAAAACTTAAAAGATCTCAAGCTTAAAGAATATATCATCTATCAAGAAGAAAACAATTACTATTTTTTAAATAATTATTTATTTGATTTTATTTATTATTATTATTTAATTTGCTATAGGGAGCATGTGCTCACCAGAAAGAGAGAGAGAGAGAGGTTGAGAGAGATAGAGAGACAAAGGGAGAGTGAGAAAGTAAGACACCAGGTCTAGGACTCAAACTGTGATCAGCCAGGTGGGAGCCCAGCGCCTCAACCCCCTTGCCACCTGCCAGCTCCCAACAATGCTCTTTAATGCTGTGGTGAAGGTGGTCATTGTCACTTACTTCCTACATACAGACGTTTTCCTCTTCCAATTAGTAAATAATCAGTGGGGAGATCTATTTTTGATTACTACTTCTTGCCAATGCTCTTTTTCTTTCCAGAAGAAATTTCTTTTATCTCCTCATGATAACAGTCCACTATCAAAGGTCACGGCACTCTGTGTGCACTATGTAAGGGGACTTCGATAAGTCCAGGGACAATGTGGACTGGGAAAAACTGTGGCTGAATTCCAAAACTTTTTAAAAGTTTACTATTTATGTATTCTGAGAGTAAGAGAAACAAAGAGAGAGAAACAGAGAGAAAGCACACTCCCTCACAATCCCCCCCGAGATTCAGCCAGCCCCAGACCAAGGGCAGGTGTATGCCCAGTGGACTCAGGGAGGCCTCTGTATGTGAACCAGGACCTCCCAGGCGGGTCAGTTTGCAGAGTCAAGTTTTACTGCACTACTGTCTGGTATTCGCAAATATTTTTTTGCAGCAAAATAAACTTGTACTTTAATTCCATTTTTTTTTGGTGAACTTTTTGAAGTTTTCTTCTTAGGTAGTCAGAAAAGTCATGACACATTTTTGCATTAAAAAAAGCCTCATGACTTTTCCAATGAACCAATATTTTGAGACTTCTATAACACAATTAAAAAGTGGAGTGAGATGCACACAAATTCATACTTACACTTTTGGCTTTCTCTAAGTATTTTTTATATCGTTCTTCCATTTGCTTCATTTCCTCTTCCTTCTTTCTTAAAGCTTCTTGTAATTCTTCAATTTTTAAGGCTGAAAATGAGACAGTTAAGAAATATTTTTAGATTGTAACATTCAAAATAATTTAACTGGAACCAGCAGATGACATAATGGTTACATTTCTGGACTCCCACAAGGCTGATTACAGTTTGAGTCCCGAACTGGGCAGCTTCAAACTCACACTGGGCGCAGGTGCTAGACTCTGAGAGAAGAATGGAAGAGAAAGGATTGTGATGGGCCTTTCCCCTGGGGGGCGATTTCTCATTTCTCGCTTCCTGTCTTACTGTCACTCTCTCTCTGGCGAGCACATGTGCTGTAGAGCAAAAATTGCTCTAAAATTTTTTTTTCAAATGATAAATCAATAATAAACTTAACAGCTTTGAGAGATTGGCATATTCCTACACACAATTTATTTTCTTAAAAAGCAATTCTTGGGGTCACCAGGAGGCGTGATGGTTATGCTGCTGGAATCCCACATGGCTGACCACGGTTTTATTCCTAGACCTGGCAGCTTGAAATCACGCTGCGTGTGTGTGCCTATGTAACCAAAATCCCAAGAGAAGAATGAAGGGATAAAGGACTGTGGCATGACCATTCTCCCTGGGGATGATTTCTCACTTTCTCTCTCTCTCTCTCTCTCTCTCTCTCTCTCGCGAGCACATGAGCCATATGGCAAGAAAATATCTTAAAGAAAAAAAAATTTAACAAAAACCTTTTGTTATAAATAAAACTCCAGCATGGAATTAACATAAATCCCCAAATACCCACTGATGGTGCTGGCCCCACAGCTCAGGGGTTAAGCACTGCTCATCAGGAGACAGATGCCACAGGACCAACCGCAATGCTAATTCTACCTCTGGCAGCTAGAAAAGTATGCTGGACATGCATGTGTGTGTGCCAACAGTTCTCCATTCCGACAGGATGGAGAAATGGATGAAAAAGGGTCATAGCAACCACCATGCCCCATTACAGGGTATTTTCTAGCTATCTGGTGAGCGAACATGCCCTCTGGCAATTAAAAAATACATATGGGTAGATGAATGGGTGAACAAAACGTGGCATACACATACACTTTTTTTGGCTATAGGGTACATGCACCCACCGGAGAGAGAGAGAAAGTGAGAAATTGCCCCCAGGGGGGATATCCACACTGTAATTCTCTCTCTTCCACTTTTGGGCATGCATGCATGCACGTATGCATACCTAGTGTAGCGTGATTCCCAAACTGCAAGATCCGGGACTCAGGGTTTAATTGGCCATGTGGGATACAGCCACCTTAACCTGTACACTATCCGCTGGCCCCACATATAGATTTTTCTTTTTCTTTTTTAGTTTTGCTATAGGGCATGTGCCAAAGAGCGACAGAAAGAAAAAAGAGAGATAGAGGGAAAGTGAGAAATCACTCCTGAGGGGGATGGCCATACCACAGTCCCTTCTCTAGTCTCCTCTCAGGATTTTGGGCATGCATATACACACATCCCTGGTGTGTTTTCCAAGCCACCAGGTCTGGGACTCGAACTGTGAAGTCAGCCATGCGGGAAGCAGGTGCGTTGGCCACCACCGGTCAACTGTGTGGGAGTCCAGCAGTGTAACCATTACACCACCTGCTGGCCCATATTATTTATTTATTTATTTTTAATTCGCCAGAGAGTGCATGCACTCCCCAGAGAGAGAAACGAAGGGGAAGTGAGAAAGCATGTCCCATGGGGGATGATCATGACATGATCCTTTCTCTATTTTCCCCTACTTTTAGGATTGTGAGCACACATGCCTAGTATGTCTTTTAAACTGCCAGGTCTGGCACTCAAACTGTATAGTTGGCCATGTGGGATCCAGCCACCTTAACCACTATGCCATCAGCCAGTCCCAACATATACGTACATATTATTCAACCTCACTTTTGAAATATGCAATAACATGAATGCATTATGCTAAGTAAAAACTAAGACATTATGCTAAATGACAGAGGCCAGACATAAACGGACAAATATTAGACTCTTCTTATATGAATAACCTACAATGGTCAAACTGACAAAGACAGTAAGTAGAATACTGATTATGAGGAGGAAGGGGAGGGAGGAATAAAGAGTAATTGTTTCATACAGAGTTTAAATTTGAGAAGGTGACATACTGTGAAAATATATCACTTCATGCGATATTCATTAGAATTCAGGGACTGACAGATGGCGTAATGGTTGCACTGCTGGACTCCCACGCAGTTGACTGTGGTTTGAGTCCCGGACCTGGCGGCTTAAACTCATGCCACGTATGTGTGTGCGTGCGTGCCCAAAATCTTAAGAGGAGAATGAAGGAGAAGGGACTGTGGCATGGCCATCCCCCCAGGGAAGGTTGATTTCTTGCATTCTGTCTTCATCTCTCTAGCAAATATACTCTCCCTGTAACAAAAATATCTCTCTAAAAAATAGAAAAAAAAAAAAAAAGAATCCACAGTTAAAGAAAAATTCATACCTATGACTAGAAATTTAAGATCTATTATAAAGACAATTAGGTACTCCTTCTGTATATAAGGTAAATACTTCAACTGCTAGAATATATAATGGTGGCCATTTCTTTAAGATGATTTACGTTATTTGTGATAGCGAGTACGTGTGCATGCATACAGGCAGGAGAAGTCTCATCAACCTTCCTCTCCAGCTTATCGGGATCCTATACCCACATGCCCTGTGGGCACTGAACTGACCCCAGGCCAATTCTGGGGTCTGAACTTCGGCTTTGTCAAGTGGATTCTGGCACTAGAGTTCAGTCTGCTACCTCCTATTCCACAAGGCTAAGCCATTTATTTTCCTTTCATACATTTATTTCTTCCATGACAGAGAGAGACAGAGATGGACACAGAGGGAGGTACCCCCAACAGGTCTTCACGTCGTGACCCACCCCCAGCCTCAGCCAGCAAGGATCGTGACACATGTGCATCAAGTGTGTACTGGGGACCTCAGAACGTGAACCGGGACCTTCCCAGGTGGCTTCAGAAGTGAGGAATGTTATGTGACTACTGTGCTACTGTGGCTGACAAGTGCCTACTTAGTAAAGAAAAAGAAATTATATAAATTCATTAACACTAGGATATTGTATGGCCAACCCAATTTAAAGCTATGCTAATTTGGGAAAGCTTACAGCTGTTGTTAAATCTTGGCTCAAGATCTTCAATAATGGCTCTCTTCTTCTGTAATTCATTATTGGCTTCATGCAGCTTCTCTCTGTAACAAAAGATATCATGAAATGCTCAACTGTGCCACCCACTACTATTTTTGTATTTCTTTCACTTCAAATTAAAGATGTGAGTTCTTTATACTTGGAAATACTTGTATTGCACTTGAGTGCTATGCAACAACAACAACAACAAAAGACTAAACTAGCAGGAATTGAACAGGGACCAGCAGATGGCATAACGGATATGTTGCTGGATTCCCATGTAGCTGACCATGGTTCAAGTCCTGGACCCAGTGGCTTAAAACTCATGCCGGTATATGTGTGTATATGCCCAAAATCCTGAGAGGTGACTGGAGGAGAATGGATTGTGGTGTGGCCATACCCCCTAGAGGGGTGATTTCTTGCTTTCTGTCTCTCTGGCGAGCGTGTGTGCCATATAGCAAGAAGACAAAAATTTCTTTTTTTCCTTTGAAACAGTACTTAGGTCTTTTACATAAACATGCATAAAAGGGCACAAAACTTTATTTTTTCTAGGAATCAGGAAAATTTTTAAAAATTAAATATAAAAATATGTAGAGGTTTAACAATGTGAAATTCTCATTTCCAAAATGATGAAATTCTACAACTAAGAATTAACACAGAACATCAATAAAACATCAAATGATAAAAACAATAAAAACACAGTAATTCAAAAACTGAACTAGGGCTTGTCCCACTGTCTAGTGGTTAACAGAGACTGCAGCGTGACCATGCCTCATTGGGTAGGGGGTGCTTTCTCGCTTCTGCCCCCACTCCTATCTCTCTCTGGCAAGTGCATGCACCCTCTAGCGATGAAAGACTAAGTAGTGATACGTGCAATCGCCTGGATAGAACTGAACCCAATGATGTTGAATAAAGTCAAAAAGGTAATATTGTTTGATTCCACTTATGTGAAGTCCAGAAGAATCAAGGCAATGAGGGCTGGCTCTGAAGCACAGTAGTTAAGCGCTGTGCATAGAAGTCATCGGGCTTCCACATGGCTAACTGGGGTTCAAATCCTGGCCCAGGGAGCAACAGATCAAGTGCACATACAGGTATGTCCAGGATTCTGATGGTATGGAGAACTGGAGGAAAAGGGACTGTAGTGGGACTAGGTGCCCTATGGGGAGTGCACTTGTACTCTTGTGTAAGCACCCTACAGCAAAAAAACAAAAACAAAAACAAAACAAAACAAAACAAATAACCTCCCCAAAACAAGCAAAAAAAAAAACGACTAAAAGATTACAGAGATTGGCATTGTGGTTAGTTTGGGGATATGAGGAATGTCCTAGGTATTAATTTGAGTTACCTATGTATGCAGGTACATTTACGAATATAGGATATATGTGCTTTATATAAGTATATTCCAATATAAAAAAATTTTAAAGATCATTTTCCTGATATTTATATAATATATAGTTTTTCATTTATACTATTTAATGTGATAATACCCAATATGAGTAAGAAAAAAGGCTGCAAGATTTATAAGACATAGGAAAACACTAATTAAAAAAACCCCACTGTTATAGCTCTGTCTAATCTGTTTTTTATATAATACGCTAATAAATCTTTTTCAACAAATTCCTTTTTGAGGTATGACATGTGACACACAAAGAACATAAACAATACCAGCAGACACCATTTGAAGAATACAAAGCCCAGGACTAGCACGTGGCATAATGGTTACGTTGCTGGACTTCCCCATGTAGTTGACTGCGGTCTGAGTCCCGAACCTGGTGGCTTAAAAAACTCACATCGGGCTCATGTGCATGCACGCCCGCCCAAAATCCCAAGAGAATTAAGGAGAAGGGATTGTGGTGTGGCCACCCCCTAGAGGGTGATTTCTTGCTTTCTGTCTCTCTGGCAAATGCACATGCACTATAGCAAAAAAAAAAAAACCTCTAAAATAAGTAAATAAATAAATAAATAAATAGCCCAGTGAGGGGCCAGCAGGTGGTGTAGTGGTTAAGGTGCTGGACTCCCACATGGCAACTGTGGTTCAAATACTGGACCTGGAGTACTGGTTCAACTACTGGACTTGAAACTCACGCCAGGCCTATGTGTATGCATGCCCAAGATCCCTAGAGGAAAATGGAGAAGGGACTGCAGCATGGCTATCCCCTGGAGGGTGATTTCTTGCTTCCTCTCTCTTTCTCTCTCTGTCTCTGGTGAGCACACACGCTCTATAGTAAAAATCTCTCTTTAAAAAAAAATGAAAAGCCCAGCGAATTGCCACCAGGCTAGGAAACAGATCAACTCAAAATGTGAGAAGCTGCATGTGTCTCTTTCTAGCCCTTCCCAGAGGCCACCAAAATCCAAGATTTTAATCATTTCCATAATTTTCATAATGGTTTTATTATCTTTGTGTTATTAACTACTGCTTAGCTCCGTCCATTTTTTACTTTATACATTAACCATTAGGTACTGTATCATTCTGACTTGAATCTTGTAGTAAAAATTATGTCCTTGAGATTCATCTGCATTCATACGTTAGCTCTAGTTTACACATCTTTAACACCGCATGCTGTCCTGCTATTTAAATATGTGCCGTTCTATCATTTTTCAATTGGTGAAGTTTGTAGTACTCCTAATTTTCTGTGATGACAATACAAATGTTCTTTTAAGTTCTCTTCTACATGTCACCTGGGACATAAGGACAAAATCTCTAGCAGTCTGAGGTATGTCCATGTGTAGTGGGACTGATGGGAGAACATGTGCATGTTCAAGCTCACTAAGCAGAGAAATGAGTGTACACACCTACCAGCAGCAGGTCAGCACGACCACCGCTCAGCATCTTTAGCCATGTGTACCATGTCTGACTTTGTAAAACCTCGTGAATTTGGTATGTATAGAATGGTTGCTTTGCAGTTCTACATATGTATGAGATTGATCATCTTTTGAGATGACTGCCAGCCCTATGGTGAGTTAAACTGTGTCTCCAAAAAAATTAAGCTGAAGTTCTAATCTTGAGTATCTATAAATGTGACATTATGAAACTGGTTCTTTATAGATATAATTAGTTAAGATGATGGCATACTGGTTCACATTGGGCCCTAAACCCAATGACTGGTCCTGTGAAGAAGGCCCCATGGTGCACAGACATTCAGAAGAAAGAACGCCAGATGAAGATAGAGAGGGACTGGAGCAACACGTTTCCCACCTAAGGAACACCCAGGAGTGCTGGTGGCCTCCAGAGGCAAGTAGCACATGGAACAGATTCTCCCTCAAGGAAAACAAACCTGCCAATGCCCAGTAGCCTCCAGAACAGCAAAAGAATAAACCACTGTTCCTAGAAGCCAGTATGTGGCGATTTGGTAGGGCAGTCACAGATATAGGCTCCACCTTCACTAATAAATCCTTCCTGATAAAGATTTTTACCATGTAAGGGGGCCAGCAAGTGGCGTGGTGGTTAAGGGCCACAGCTGACCATGGTTCGAGTCTCGGATCTGGTAGCTTGCTTTCCTACTTTTGTCTCTCTCTCTCTCACTCAGTCCCTCTCTGGTCAAATTAAAATAAATACAAATAAATAAAGTTAAATAAAATAATTCTTTAAAAAAGACTTTTACCTTATAAGTGGCTGAATACAGAATAATAGAGAGTAGTTTTTACAATACAACAGGTAACCTATTTTATTATTTTTAAAAACTATTTTCTATTTATTGTAATTTTTAAAAAATAATTTTTTTAATGTTATTTTTAAATTTTACCAGAGAGAGACAGAGAGAGAGAAGGAAAGTGAGAAAGCAAGGTCCAGAACTGAAACCACTGTTGGCCATGTGGGAATCCAGCACATTAACCACAACACTTGCTGGCTCCAGGTACCCTATTTTAAAGGAATGGGAAATTTAAAAAAGAGCAGAATTCACTACTAAATTCACTTTCTCCATAACTTCACAAAGGCAGGGAAATAACATGTTCTATGCTCCTTGCACATTAAGCACATGCCCGGGACCAGCAGGTCGTGTATGGTAATTAAGGCCCTGGACTTCCACATGGTCCAACGTGGTCAAGTCTTGGACCTCGCAGCTTGAAAATCACTCCAGGTATGTGTGCATGCACTCCCAAAATCCCAGGAGGAGAAAGGATTGCAGTGTGGCCATCGACCCTCCTGGGTGGGAGATGATTTCTCACTTTCCCACTCACCGTCTCTCCAGTGAGCGCATGTGCCCTATCGCAAAAAGCAAAAATCAACCCCCTCCCCTCGAAAAAAGGGAAGCACAATTTAAGTTAAAAAAAAAAAGAAGAAAGTAACTTCCCACTATTAGACTTTCCAGACCTCAGTTGCTAATAGTATATTAGAGAAGGAGAAAGAAAGAAAAATTGGATAGCATGAAGCCAGACAACATTTCTTTTCAGTCGCTGTAGAACAGGTCAAGCAGATCTCTGGAACCGAGGCTCTCTGGTTTAACACAGAGTCACACTGTAACTCCCCAACAGGCTCCAATTCACGGCCATCCTACATTCAACCCTAACGTTGTCGACCTCAGCTAAACACAAAGATGAGATTTTTGCTTCATGAGAAAACAAATGTGAATTTGCTCATTATTCATTCATAAAACAACTGTTAATTATTCTATTTTTTGAATTAAAAAGCCCTGCTCAGATATCTTTATAATTCAAGGAAATATTTGAAAATTGGCCACTGTCAAGTGTTATACTTCAAAAAATTTACCTAAGGGGCCAGCAGATAGCATGATGGTTAAAACACCGGATTCCCACATGGCCGATGCAGTTCGAGCCCCAGACCCAGCGGCTTGAAAATCAAACTGGGCGCATGTATGCGCGTCCCCAAAATCCTGAGAGGAGACTGGAGGAGAAGGAATTGCAGTGTGGTCATACCCCATGGGGGATGATTTCTCATTCTCTCTCTCTCTCTCTGTCTCTTTCTGTAGAGCACATGTGCTCTATGATAAAAAAACATTTATTTATTTATTATTTTTACTTAACAAGGAAGATCCCGCTAACTGGACTTTAGAGCTGGCAAACTACAGCCTGTGGGCCAAAGCCGGCCTGCTGCCTGTCCTCACGTCCAGTTTTACTGGACACAGTCCCAGCCACAAGCTTACATGCTGCCTGTCCTCACGTCCAGTTTTACTGGACACAGTCCCAGCCACAAGCTTACATGCTGCCTGTCCTCACGTCCAGTTTTACTGAACACAGTCCCAGTCACAAGCTTACATGTTGTCTCTGGCTACTTTCAAATTTCAGCTAAAGAGCTGGCTGGTTGTGATAGAGACCACAACTCGCAAAGCCTAAAGTAACTGCCATCTTGCGTCGTCAGAAAAGGTTTCGGACCCATGATTTTGAGCGTCTCCAATTCCTAACTGGTGATAAACACTACTGTGAAGATATAAAACACTAAACTATAATCTAAAAAAACAGTTCTAAAGCAGTCATTGTTTTGGCTTGGGGACTTTGGATGGAGACGACCCTTGGACATCATTAATGTGTATTAGAATTTTCTGTATTTTTAAGGGCCTTCAGTGTCGCTGCCCAGACGCTCCTAAATCAGCTCACCTAACGCACCCACAGAGTAAGTTCCACAATACAAGAATGAGCCTCAAGAGCTTTTATACTTACAGATGTTCTTCAAGCTTCTTTTTTAGGAGAACTGACTGAAAATGGAAAATAAACATTAGTTTCTTACTTTACATTTATGTATTCTTACTTTACACAACTATGTATTACTTACTTTTTAAAAATTAGGAATATAGTAATAATTAATTTTGAGTGAGATCACAAAAATTTCTTTGGGCCGAGTTCAAGACATACATGTATCCCAGTTTATTCGCTTTAATAAAGGG